TCTATCTCGAATTGCAATATTTGGGGAATTAGATTATTTTTTTGCACAAACCAGAGAACCATTAGCTTTATTTTCTTCTTCTTCTTCTTTTTCTTCTTCTCTTTCTTCTTTTGTTCTTCTTCTTCTTTTATTATTTCAAATTCTAGATCTCAGGAACAACTAATTGATAATTATCAAAATAACAACATAGATAATCTTCAAAATTTATAGGAAAATACTATTAATCAATTTGACTATATCATAAATAACAATGATATAATGAACAATAATAATAGTTTAGATAATCTATATATTAATAATGGTTCTTCTTTTAATGATCTTTCTCCTAATGATCAGGATACAGAAGCTAGTATTCACTTTGCACCAAATCTCTATACATATTCTCCAATATATCAATCTTCTAAAATAGTATCTCACAATTCATCTTCTATGTAGGATAGATAGCACAGGGTCTCTGAACATGCCCTAGAGACATACCTAGAGAGCATACCCTAGGCATACATTTAGGCCAAAAGATATGCCCCTATCATGTAATCATAGAAAAGATTATTATGAATATGATTAGTTAATATTAAAAATAGCAGACAATTTTTATATAGTTGCACCCTTAAATATATACTTTCTAAGTGTATAGTATATGAAAACTTCTCTAAATGCACAACCCTCATGGTTCCAAAAAATTAATTTTTATAAATTTTAACTTTATTGCATATTTAGTTTTTTTTTCACTATAGTCCTAAGGGCATATATTTATAGGACATAAAAATTTATATATTAGAGGGCATGCCCTAAGGCATGATAAGAGAGGCATGTCTTTGCTTAGAGATATGCCCCAAAATTTTACCATGCCTTCTACTCTACTTCTATGTCTTCAACTTCAACAAATATTCTATTTATATCAACTTCAACTTCAACAAATGTTCCACTAATGAGTTTATAATCATCAGCTAATAAAGATAAACAATCATCTATTAAGTTGGATGACTTATCTTCTTTTAATTTTGAAGGCCTACCTGAGGAAACAATATCTAATGATCCTCAAGTTCAACAAGTTCTCTATCACTTTAATTGTTTAGTTAAAGCTATAAAAAAAGGACAATCTCAATCTTCCAAGAAAACTTTTCTTGTCCAAATTCCTGTCTTTAAAGGAGGTGAACAGGATCCTATATATTGGCTAAATGAATTTGCAACTGCA